CGAGATGCCAAGGCATAAATTGTATAGAGATAAGACATCTCAAGCTGATAGTTGGGATGTCTAGGTCAAGAAGCCCTAAATGGTATGGCAGCAATGTTGAGACAAACACAATCCAAAACAGTCTCTTACAGTTTTACAAAAGACAGGCCAGACAGGTGAGATAGTTGAGTTGTTCTTTACATGAGAGAGCGACTGGAATATACGGGGCTCTGCCTAGTGGTGGATGAAGAGTGAGAACTTAGGGGTGAGGATAAAAGGGTAGGCTAACATGGGTGATACTGGTGTGCGTAATTACTGCACGCACCTGATCAGGGAGAGGAAGTTGAGGCCTTCTAAAGACAGATGAAAGTGGCCTCACCAGCGGGCCCTGGTTCTCATGAGGGACTTCAAATGTCCCCTGAGGCTGTGGCTTGATCTGCTGGAAGGCGTGTTTCCAGTAAAGGACATGGGCATCCTAGGTGTCAACAAGTTGACCATGAGCCAACACAGTGTCCTGGTGGCCAAGAAGGCCAATGGGCTTCTGGGGTGCATCAGGAAGAATGTGGTCACCACATGGAGGGGGCCTTTATGCAGCCCTGGTGAGGCCACAAGTGGAGTGCTCTGCCCACTCCTGGCCTCCACAGCATGAGAGAGACCTGGAGCCACTGGAAGACTCCAGCGTAGGATTAAGGAAATGTTTAGGGGACTGGAGCCTCTCTCCTATGAGGAAAGGCTCAGAGAGCTACGCCTGTTCAGCGTGAAGAAGACTAAGAGGGGATCTCATCAGTGTACACGCTGATTAAATGCACAGGGAGGGTGTCAAGGATTGGGCTGGACTCATTTCAGTGCTTGCCAAGGGTTAGGACAAGAGGCAATGGCTACAAACTGAAACACAGGAAGTTCTGCCTAAATATGAGGCAAAACTTCATGACTGTGGCGGTGACAAAGCACTGAATCAGGCTCCCCAGAGAGGTTGTGGAGTCTTCAAAACCTGCCCAGATGTGATGCTGTACAATATGCTCTTGGTGACCCTGCCTGAGCAGGGGGATGGACTAGATGGTCTCCAGAGGTCCCTTCCAACCTCAACCATTCTGTGTCTGTGAATATTGTAAGGTGATGATAACATGTGGCATGAGATGGTGAAAAATGTTTGTAAACAGAGCAAATAATAGGACAAATGATGGAATCAAGTTTGGTGATTATTTTGTGACATACGAGTAAATACTAGTTCTAATTTCTGTTTTCTTGTATAGTGACAGCCACATGAAATCTAGATATATAGATCTATTCAAATATTATTCATTCCAACTGCTTCCCAAACAAAGATAACGAAGCTTTTTTGTTTTGTTTTGTTTCTCTGCTAAAGATTAGTGATACAGAGCAATGGGAGACTCTTGCCTTCACGCCTACTCTTACTTCAGGCCTTCCTTTTTTCTTTCATCTAGGGGCTACCTCTGGACCTGATGACCTTTGTCATCATATGGAGGAATGTCTCACTTTTTTTTTTAATTAAATTTAATGTAAAAGATGTTTTTGAGAAAAACACAGTAGAACTCCCCCTAATCCCCTGCATTTCATCTCTCTTCTTCCATCTCTAATTTCTGAATGGTGCCTCATAGAAGAGAACAGGGAGGAGAAAAATGGCAGCCGTTAATGAGAACACTAGTGGTGACCTACTCTAGATTTTTAACTAATTCAGCATATCACTGCTTCTTGCTTGAAGAGTGAAGTTCCCTTTCCAGTGATCTATGCAGAGCAGGATTGAATAATGTGGGACCAGTGAAAACAGAAAACATTAGGAATCAATAGGAACCAACTGTCTAGAGAAAGAGAGTGGCTGCTTTTATCTGTCACTTTAGGGGATTTGCCTGAGTAGCAATTTGTATAGAGGCACCGGAAGAGATTAGTGAAGGATGAGTCATGAAATATGCTCACAAAGGCAAGAGTATACAAGCATTTTTTGAAGAGCAGAATTATGAGGAAAAAAACTGTTCTGGAAACGTGTAATCATGAGATAGGGCGTCAGCTGGGAAAGGCAGGTACCCAGCAAACAGTCAGCCAGGATAATCAAACTGTTGGTAGGTAAAACTGACAAATTATATGAGAAGATAGAAAACACCAGCAACAGAGAAACAAAAAGAAAAACTAAAATAAAAGAAAAACCGAAGACAAAAAAAAATTTAATTTGGATGTATTTCGATAAAATAAGCTTTGGGGCATTTTTCATTTAGTTGGACTGGAATAGAATGGACAAACCAGGAATGGAGTGTGGTTGTTATGCACCTGCTGGAGTCAAAGTGCAGGATGAGCAACCCTTGTCTGTCTGAGAGAAGACAAGTAATATGGGCTGTCACAGGGTTAGTTTCCGAGTCCTTCATGTTTATGCTTTTCTGGCAGAGTTACGAGGAGGCCTGCATATTCTCATTAGGCAGACGGAAAAGAAGTGCCCTCTCTTAGGCCATTGCAAAAACCATACCTGACTTAAACCACCTGGTACAAGAAGTGATGCTAAATTGATGAAAAAATGTGCTAAGCTTCTAAATGTGCATCAGTATCATTGTTGTCATAGGGCATACTAATGTGCTGTGGAACAGAATAGCTGTTAAAGCTTTTTCTTCTTTTATTGTTTTGAAAGTGAACCTAAGGGTCTATTTGTTTCTGTTTTGTATTCAATATTCTCAGTATTTCTCAGCACTTACATGGTTTGATGTAAGCGTGTTAGTATAGCAAATTCTATCCCAGTGGGATTTTATGTTCTTCAAAACTTTAATAACATTTGTACCACAATCCTTTCTGCAGTAACTGTATTATTTTATCCAAATCAGGCCTGGGTTTCAGTAGCAATTCTTGGAAAGTTGATTAACAGCCTTTTCAGCTTTTCAGACAATTGATTCTCCTAGGAAAGCACACAAATACCCTGTGTGAAGTAGGCATATCTAAAATAACTTTGATGATTAGGTGATTTTTATTTTTGTTATCTACAAACAACAATGAAAAAAGGTATTTTTGAGTACTACAAAAGCATGTGCAGAGAACAGTATTAGCTGTGATTACTGGTGTGTCATTAGCATTCAGGAGGCAGTGATGTTACTTTTTGTTTTGCTCTTTTCATCAGTTTGTTTCTTTTGATGGTTTCCTCATATTTTGGGTAGTCTTACTTGGAATAATGAATACAGAATTAAGTTGGCTCTGTAAAATAGTCAGTGCCCTTTTAAGCATACACTGTCTTTTTTCTATATCCCCTGTGTCTTTAGCGTGGGACAAAAATTATTCTGCGCCAATAGTTTTAGAAAGAAAGGGGAATGATCCTGTTGAATAGGGTAAAGCAACCCCCAGCCATTTCTTTCTTTCATCTCAGTCAAAATTTTCCAGGTTTCAGAGCTCAGAGAAATTTACTGTCTCCATTTACCCTTAGCTTCTCAGTCAGATGTTTTAGGGAGTAAATGGGAGGAAGACTTTTGAATTCCCCCTACCTCCTTATTTCTTCCTTTCGTTCAAGTGCTGAGTTTCTCAGTGGTGCTTATGGCAGGTGAGGGCTGGAATCGCATCGTTTCCAGAGCCGGTGTGGCTGCTAAGCCAAGCGTTTCCCGAGAGTTCATCACAGACTCTCTCCCGCTCCTTACTGGGAGACCTTTTTGTGCAGGGCAACTGGGGCTCTCGTCCCTGTGCATGGCAGTTAGTGCGGGAGCGTCTGCTGGGACTTCTCCCTTTCCTTGCAAGGAGTTTTGTGTAGCTGACTGCATGGAACGTGTCAGTCTCAGAGAAAAACTAAATATATATATATATATATATATTTTTTTTTTAAAAAAAAGGAAAGCTGTTGTGCGATTATTCACAAAATAGCTTTCTTTTTTTTTAGTTTTTAGTTTTTTATTATTATTTTGAAAGACAGCAGGCAGGATTATAGCTACAATTATTCTAAAGTTTATATAAATAATTGCTTTCAGCAATAGTGCTAGGTTAGTTTGTTACTGCTTGGAATGAGCAGTTCCAAGAAAGAAAAGAAAGGGATAATGGGTGCATTTGTGTGAAAACAAGAATAGTTTAGCAAGTGGATTCCCAAAATATTTCTCATTCAGCCTTCAAAATACCCAGCAACTCAGAAAGCAGTGTTTTCCATAAAGAAGCAAGAGACTGTTTGGAAATGGTTTAAAGTAACCATGACTAAAATGAAAGGCAACAATATTTGGCAAATTTGCAGTAAGCTTAGTTTCCTAGAAACGTTTTTTATTTTGTATTTGATGAAAGTACTGATGCCATACCTGGGAAATGCAGTTCTTCGGGGAATAGCTAAGATTTTACTTGGCTTGTGGGTTTTATTTTGTTTGTTTGTTTTTTCATTTTTATTAAAAAAAAAAAGCCTCTTGTGCATCGAAAGGAAAGCTCTTTGGAGGTACTTATAAGAGCTCTGTGGATAAATCTTATCTCATGGGGCTGATTTGGCTTTCCTGTCAGAATAAAGGCAAATACATTCAATTAGTAGCAGGATTTTAAATGTAGCTTTTGTGAAAAAGTTTCCCTCCTGTACATCATTAAAATTAGCATTAAAATTAGCAATATGCTTTCAATTAAGTGTAATTCGCTAATCTATACTATGATTTTTTTTTTTGAGTGCAGAAGCTTTCATCACCACATGGTCCTCTACTGAACTTTACATGTTTTTTAACTAATAAAAATTGTTCCTTGTGAGGTTGTATATTTAGATCAGTATGTTAAAAGCACATTTGTATGCTGCTGAAAGGCCTGTGTGAACTGCAAATGATTCTGGTGTTTTTGATGCCTAAATTGTTTAACGTATCTGGAACGTTCCAGATTGCTGGTACACGCTTCATTCTGAAACACGGACCATTAGAGAGAATAGATGTTGTCTCAAAATGTTGGGGTTGTGATTGTGTTAAACCAAAAAAAGCTTGTCACACAAGATAATGTGCTAACAGTTCTTGTCAAATTATTTCATTTACTGAAATTCCTTCTTAAGGTTAAGAGAAGTCAAAATGAATGGTTCCATTCTTTTGTTTCAGGAACTGCAGTTTGAGAGACTGACTCGAGAACTTGAGGCTGAACGTCAGATTGTAGCTAGCCAGCTGGAGAGATGTAAGCTTGGATCAGAAACTGGAAGCATGAGCAGCATTAGGTAATGTACGAATTGCTAATTTCTTTGCTCCGGTAATGAATTAACATGGAGAACAAATTGTATTGATCATCTTCTTGTCAAGAATTATACGTGAGGGAGCAAGAGCTTTTAATAGAGTTTGCAAATTTGCATTTTGACCCAATTTTTTTTTTACAGGATGTTTCAACCAAAAGATGAATTTCTGTGCAATCTGCTATGTGATTTATCCACTAACAAAATGGTAGTCACATCTGCAATTCATTGACTTGCCGTAATATTCAATTAATAACCAAAGCTCCCTTTCCCACTACCGATGCAACTACCATTTTCGACCAAAAGATTTTTAGCTTCATATTTGAGGAAATGTGTTGATAAGTATGTGATAAGTTTTCTTATCATTCTATCATTCAAAGCATTAAAAGCTTTAGAGATCATTTCAGATGCATATGCAGTATAATTATGTAAAGCTTGTGCTGATCTTGCATCAAAATGTAATGATAAAGTAGGACTCTCCCTCTTTTTTGAAGCCTGGCTTTCTTGAATTAGGTTGTTCTGGCACAGTGGTTGGATGATGATAGGATTCTTTTAAGAAAGTGTTGTAACAAAAGGAAGCTCATCTCTGGACACCTTGGTTGGGAATAAAGATTTTGTAGTTTTTAGCTTTTGATGGTAGTTAATTTGTTTTCTCAGGTGAACATAATAAATGAAGGCTGATATTGTTTCAGTTTCAAGGATCCAGAAGAAAAAAATATGTATTGTATTCCTGCTTCACCAGCTCAGCTGAGAAAGCCAGCTCAGCATCACTTTATATAAAAATTAGACACTGAATGGAAACAACTTCTTTTTCCACAATAAGTGTGATATCTTTCTAATATACAAGATGAAGCATGATATGCTGAGCTTAGTAAAGTGTTAGGTGGTATTAGTAGAAAAAGAACAAAAATATCTGTGACTACTGTATGAAGTTTTTTCTTAGTTCATGCAATTCAATCCTCAATCAAATATACGACTGTTTTCTAAGAAATGTAGGAAATAATTGCTGAGTAGAATGCCAAAGATGAAACAAAAATGGTGAAGTAACAGTTCAATTAAAACAGCAGAAGGCAGGAGAATCCTTCATTAGTTCAGCAGAATCTGTCCATAAAGTTGATTTAATTATGAATCAGTTGAGAATTGATTTCCTAAAGTGAAAAGCATCTTAATGCATGCTATATATTCTTTTCTACCAATGAGATTTATATGAAAATTATATTAACATTAGCGAGACCATATTGCTTAGAGTTCTTTAAATGCTTATTAGGTAGCTTTTTTGCAAGGCACTACAGTATTATACTTGTCACTTAAGTGCATTTCTACATTACTTTAAACCTAATTCCTTTGAGATTATAGATTCAGGTTCAGTGAAGATTCATTGTAAAAAGCCATAGAACATAATTAATGTAGCATGACTTCATGTCAATGTTTAAATTTTATTTGGTTCCATCCTTTCAAAACTGGATTTCAGGCAAAAAAAAAAAAAAAGGCAAGTGATGCGGATGGTTTTAAATATGCAGTTTAAGTCTGTTATTTGAACTCTTACTTAAGGAACAGATGATTTTTGAGGTTAAAAATAATTTTATTTTCTTCTCATTTATGTGAAGGGGGGAAAAAAAAGAAAAAAAAAAAAAAAAAAGAAAGAAAATTTCACCCTGCTTCTTCCTGGGAAGATTATTTATTGCTCCCAAATCTGAACCTGAACATGATGGCAACCTCCCTGTGAGACCGATCACTGGTTTGGGGAAAAGGGGCAGGGATGATCAGAAGAGGAGATTTACAGCTAAGGAATGAGAGCCGAAAGGGCTTAGGATGTACAGTTTCTTCTCAGCCCACTATTTGGGGAAGCTGGTACCATCTGAAGAAACCATCTGGATTTCAAAATCTCTATCTGTCATATTTTTAATAGAACTTCTCTCTATCTGTAAATGGAGGATGGATACCTAGGCTCATGGTCATTTGTATCTGCTGGCTGCAAGAGCAGCCATCGCGCGGCGCTTTAGCTATCTGTGCCTGGTGCTGACTCTCCCAACCACAGGGCTGGGTCTGATGGATGTGCAAGCTGCCCAGGAGCGGGAGAGAGCCGCCTGCCTCCCCCTCCCCAGGCTTCCTTGTAGGAAGCTGTACACTGAGTGTGGTGGGGCTTGTCCTTTGGGGTCTTGGAGCCGCTGTGCCGGGGTGCACGCTGCCCGCTTCACTCTCCCCATCCGTAGGGAACGGCCTGGCTCTGGGAAGAGTGGCAGCCAGCAGCTTCTGAGAGGGGTAGTTGTCGCTGGAGCAGCGTATTGGGAGAATGCCAGGAAAGTGGGCTTAAAAGGAAGGATAGGCTACCCTTCTTCCCTTCTTGCCTGCCTCCTGCCACAAAGAATGAAATGAGGGGGGAAAAAAAAAAAAGTATTTTGCAGAGAAGAGGTTGGTTAATTGGTTCTAGGAACAGGCCTTGAAAAGGAAGCAGCAAGAAAGAAAAGGCATAGGAGGCAGGAAGGCATAATCTTAAGGTTTGATAAATTGGATGATGAAACCCTGAAAAATCCAGGGGGATTTCACCTACTTGGAAAAGCCTGCAAAGCCTTTACTGGCAAGTATGTATAAGATGGAAATCATTAGAGGACTGCAGCGACTATAAAACTGCAACAACAACAACAGTAAAACCCTAAGGAATGTGCATATGATGGGGGCTGTTTTGCACAACAACAATTTTAGAGGTGCCAACGAGGTAATGGTGGGATTGTAACTGCAGCAGACAGTAACGCTGCTTCCAGTACGGAGGGATTATGCCACCTCCAGTGGTGCCGAAGGAGCAAATGGAATTTCCTGGGAAAGAGGGAGCACAATCTGCGCTTCCTCTTTGTAAGCAGCAGAGCAGCATCTTGCTGCCACAAAGCACGATTTTAAAATCAGCAGAGGGCTTTTCTTTCTGCAATTATACTGGTTGGAGCATTTTGGTGGAAGAAAGTGACTTTTCCTTGAAACCAGAGGTTTCCTTACTACCTCTGAGTAAATGAAATAGTTTTATTTGTTTTAGATATAGGTTAGCTTAAAAAATCCTCCTAATTTAAAAGTTTTTATTTTTTTTATAATAATCTCTGAATGCAAGAATACATTTTTTTTAAACATGCTTTCAGGCAGAACACAAACCAAAATGAGAAGCTATAACTATCATTATAGGCCTTTATAGGTGAATAGCTTCTTAAAACAAACGTGTATACAGCATGTATTTTAAATGTTGTCATATTTAAAGTGATTCTACCTGTAAGTCTTCAATAGAAGTGAATATATTTCCTGCAATGATGTCACCATTGCTTGATGACATCTAGGGTTATTATTCAGATGCTCTTCCTTATTAAGGAATAATCAAACTGGACTGATTGTAATCAGCATATTTTAATACTGGAAAGTTTCTTTTTTTACCACTTGGAAACAATTCATTCAAAATATCTGAAAGGATTTTTTTTCTTTTTAATTTTTATTACTTGTGTCTATTAGTAATCGAGTATCTAAGAGTAGTATGTGGAGCATCTGTCCAAACGTGAAATTTTAGTCAGGCTAAACTAACTTATCGTGGTGCTTACTTAACATATCTTACCCAACATCTTAAACCAAGTGCAGATACGCAAAAATAAAAGTACTTACATGCTTAGAAATTTAATGTCAACTGCATTTCATTGTGGAATTATCAGGAAACTTATTCTCAGCTTTGCCTCTTTCAGTGTATGGTCTCCTGAAATCTTCATGTGTGTCTTAAGACTGTGTATCTCAGTGCCACGCTAAAGTCCTGATATATTTCGTTTCATTTTGGCTTTCTGCACTGTCCTTGAAAACTGGTACTTGGCCCAAAAGAAGTTGGGTATCCAGCTGTAAAGAACCTTGTGGTTCAGTTCTGGATCATTAGAGACCTCATGTGTGCCTTTTTCTTGCCACAGAAACAAGGATCCAGAAAGTAAGATGTGTTTACATAGTAAAATGCACAGCAGATCCAACCCTGGAACAAGGCTGTAAACTTCATACCTCTCACCGATCTAGCTGCACAACTCAGGCTGGTCAGGCGTAGTGAGAAGCAGGTCTACGTAGCAAGGATAGGAAGCTGCATTAGTAGAACTGCAGTTTCTAGGATATCAAGTAATATCTCTGCACTGTATTTTGCCTGTGGACATAGCAGTTTGTCCAGAAGAGATTCGGTTAATAGGAGTTAGCTCCTCTGTCCAAAGTCTTGCTCAGCTCAAGGGACACAAACACTTTAGTTCTTGCTCAGGATGATTCACTAACCTTGAAGAGTTGGTTCTGGGCACGCAAGGAAACCCTGCTGCTTTAGCACAGTTCATCAATTCGGTGCCAATGTATCTCACAATTGAGATGCATCAAAAATGCCCAGAGTGGGTTTTCCTTGTTATGTGCTTGATGATTAGATGCTTTTAGAGGCCTAGGGTACCGAAATCCCTAAGAATTGTACCAAAAGGACTGGGATGCCTAATGCTCAGGAGCAGTTCTTGGCTGCGGAAATGCGAGGGAAGCAGTGGCCTCTGCTATAGCTGGGTAAAACATTTATACTTTACATTAGGGCAGAACTTTGGGTGTTCTTCCATGTGGCAGTGCTGGCGTGTTGGCAAGCACTGAGCAGCTTGCTAAGCTTGCTTTGCCCATGCACTACAACGAGGAGCCTAGCCATGTTCAACACTTCTCCATCCTTCTGTCTCAGCTGCTGATTCCTTCTGGGCCACATCCTTCAACCTGTGCCTCCCATTTATACTGATGCCTGACTATCTTTTGAGCACTTCAGTCTCTGTTCATTTTACCTATATACTAACATACGTAATTCTCCATGAACACGCAAATGCTTTGAGCATTCTTAAAACTTTAAGTTTCTGTTTTCCATTTTTATTGCTGTTTAATTTTTTAGCAACTTTTGTTAATTTACACTTTTTTAAATGGAATTCTTACCGTTTGAACCATGTAGGCAGCTCAAATGTAGACAACACTTTTCTTTTAAC